ATAGTGATACCTACACAGCCAGGCGCAGGAAGTCTACTCAACAAGTTGCTTAGCTATCAAAAGTGCTGTAGTCGGAGTCAAAAATATTGCAGATATTCCACGGATTCCGGCGGCACAATGCCGTACTTTATAGTATAATGTGGACGACCTTATACACGAAGTAGTTGAAGTTCTTACTGTACAATATGAAAGCCTCCTTTCTTTGCACAAGCATCCAAAGCACATCGTATGCAATGACTGTTTGTTAATGGTCAATAGATAGATTGTAATTATATTATTACATATAGTTTATTATTCATGCAAAATGTTTACGGTTCAAGTTATCTCGTACTGCCGTGGGAGTTTTAGGAAACCTTATTTAAAAAGTCATCTTTCTAGGCTTAGAGTCTGCGTTAAACAATCACTCATTTAGGACCAGTCTCTGAGTTTATATGAATAAGATAAAGTGAATGTAATTAATTATCGTTTACTAATCCTCACGACTATTTAGTCTCTCTCTCTCTTATTGAAGCAATCTCAACAGATGAAGTCTGGTGGTGAACGCAATACTTAAAATATCCATATTTTACTCAGTACATTTAAATCCAAACTAGCAGAGAGCAATTTAAACTAAACTAAGTTGACACGACATGTAAAGATTTTTGGTGTCGGCCAGAATTGAACTCGTGACCTCGCAAACTACCTCTAAGTTTGAATAGTGAACCACAAGGCCACGGTACACTCAATAAGTTTTCAAAATTTAGATATGACGTAATTTTTTGTAATGTACAAAATACTTCGGAAAAATAGCAATGGATATATATCTGAAATATTTTTTTAAAACACATTTCCCGAAGATGCTCGTATATAAGTACAATATAATTTACATTTCTGCGGGAGTTTTTATATTATAATATCCCGTTGACTACTGATAGTAAACTGATATTTTAATGAACACTTCGAACATTAGTGGGTAAGAAATTTTCGACGTTATTGCGCCGGTCGTATTCTCTCGAGATTTATGTAATAAAGCTATAGAGCCATGGAAAGGCAATGTCTAATCACGAAGTGGTCATTAAATTGAAGTAATAATTCTTCAACATAGTAGCGACTATACATAAAGACCCATAATTCTTTGTTAAGTTCCTTTGTAACTGGCCACGGAGATTGATGAAGCGTCTCCTTAGGTGGGCCTTGTTATTAATCTTTCAATAATTCTGTTCAAAAATAATCTGTTACTTTAATTTGTTGAATACTATTTATTTATACATATCTAGAATATGGGATTATTACTAAGAGGGAATAGTGACTCAGTGTCAGGTCAACTTGCCTAATTTTGCCTTAAATAAGATGTATTTTGTAATTGTGTTATTAGATGATCACATTAATATTGTTACATTAAAATTTTAAAAAAAGGATATGTGTGATCTTTTCACCCATTTAGTCGTAAAAGGAGAAAGACAGACACATTTTCATATTTATAATATCATATAAATAAGAATAAATATTCAATATCATAGGAATAAGAATAAATATTCAATAATGAAAGAACTTCCAAATAATCACCCCAAAAGAGTAATGACAGCGATGGAGTTTACAAATGCAGGCGCGGACGCTGCGGTACTTCTTTTATGAGAGCAACAATAAATAACACGTACCTTTGGCGATGAGCCACCTCGACATTTACTTATCAAACCTACAATATTAATGCAATACCATCGACCTTTTTAAGATGCCGTATATACAAATTAAACTTTTATATCTGTGTAATAAATACTATAATGGTACAAGCTAATGTATCATGTAAATCTATCCGGTGCGACTTCTATTTGATCTTGATTTGATTCTGACAATAGTTACCTTATTTTAGTAATAAAAATAAATCTTTACAAATATTCATCCCTGATGGAATAATCAGAATCATTATTATCAGTCGGGTCACGATGAACACTATGTCGACCTGAGTATCTACGTTTCGTAGTTGGCTTTTTAAGTTGAGTTCCGGTAGAAAGGTGACATGTGATAGTAAATTTACGGATTACATCTTAGTCCTCCGTTATAGCAATACATGACACAATCACATGACGTATGCATATTCACATATTTTGCTGGATATACAAAAATTCATATCTCGGATTCTGTCAGTCACATTACATATGTAATTACATTTTTTGTGGTGAATTAGATATCACGAACTCTGTTGTCTAAGTTTAAGTTGTATGCCACTAGATGATAACGCTCTCTTTGCTATTTAAGTAAATAAAAATATTATAGAATAAATAGATATGTGTGATGTGAAAAAGTATTGTACTTTAATACACCTGCAGCACAAGGTGTGGTTGCACAGTGTACGAGACTCACGGGAGAAAAATCGGTGCCATTGAGGTCTCACCTCACCTTGCTAATTATTTCCGACGGACGGTAAAATTCACTGCATGATTTATGCATCACTACCCGTCCCGTTTTCGCAAGGATATTTCAATTAATTTACATAAAATCTCAACAAATTATACACCTAAACCTTCCTCTGAAATCAATCTGTTGACGAATGAGAACCGCATGAAAATCCATTCATTAGTTTTAAGATTATTATATTATTTAATATAACTACAAGATTTTAAAAATTCTTCATGAAAATACGTTATCAGAAAGTAACATAAATATTATTGCCACATTTTGTTAATTAGATGTCTCACTAATAATTGCATCCATGTATAGCCGAATTGGATCGGTGGTGGCTAATAAAACAATGAGTACAGCATTACAACTTAGTCCGTTTTTTTAAATGTTTTCCACTTACACGTTAAAACTTAAACGTAAAATTTTATTAAAATCTTTTCAGCCTATCAGCCTATCGGAAAAAAGTAATAGACAAACAAACAAGCAGTAATACAGACATACTTTCATATTTATAATATCAGTGTATCCACACTATGTGGCACAGTGCCATGTAGCAATACCCGGCAAAGCAAGATCATCCAGATACTGAACGTTAAAACGACCAACTTGAAAAATATTAGACGGGCATACGAGTACACGTGAGAAAAAAGTGCCGTGTAGTTCATTAGGACGGTAATTTGACATGGCTTGACAGCTAATATTATATTGAAATTGATTTGTGTTCAAAGTTGAATTAATTTTGACAGAGTCAATAAGCCACCGCTTTCTCAATAGTGAGAATAACTATACTTATAGATGAACGATAATTATACGTTGGACAGCTCAAGAAATTCATTGGATGACGCGGAATATTATTACATTTAAATATATAGATAAATCTTATATAGAATTCAAACAATTGTTAGGTACTAAATGGGACTATAAAGTAATAATATACAATATCTACTATTAGTTAAATGTAGAGTTGTACAATTTCTTGAAATAGGGTACCCCTGTCTATTTGGATACTTCTGCTTTGTAAGCTGTGTTATGATTGAAAGCAGTGAAATTACGGAATATGGATGATATTTTGTACTGGAATGCATAAGTCTTATCACAGGTGTTACAAGATAAATCGATATTCGTAATACTGTAATGTATAGGTATAAGCAAGAGTAACCACTTATCTTCACTTGGGCTGCCAATTTGATTACCATTAATAATAATAATAATAAATAAATAACTACAACACCGAAGAAATTCGAGGATACAGAATGTAAGAAAATAATAATAATAAGTTTTATTATAAATTTCGATTCTTACTATACATACATATATATTTATTAATAACAAATTAATCGTATTATTAAAACATATATCTGAATGTTATATAGATAAAATTATTACAGATTAAACTAGTAAAATGTTATCGTCCTTATTTTACTACATATGTACATAGTACAATAACCCATGAACATTTTAATAAGTTCATCAGTGAATAGCACCGAGCGAAGCAATAGCAATTACAAAGAGCGAGAACAAAAACTCATACCAACATGATATGTAGGTAGTTACTGTTCGACAATAGCCTGAAGATAACAAGACTGGAACCTATTTAAAATTCTTCTAATCGAATATGGCTTTTATGGTTGTGTTTAACACGATTATTATATTTTAAGAGGTCCTGTGTGACTTGCATTTTATGCGTGTCGGAACTCTCCGAGGTGTGGACCTGTCGAATAATAGGTTTGAAGCGATTGATTAATGACAGTCCGGCGAAAACAAATTGGCTACTTAATTAAATACCACGTACTTTGATAGATGACATGGAGGATGGCCATATAATTATAATTTATAAGAATGATTCATAAGCTTAGGTATACATTATTATAATATCATTGTATACAATAGGAATTATTTCGTCAAATTAAATGACACTTATTAATAAATTTATTTGAAATGTGTGAGTAGGTTTAGAAAGGTTAGATGTAATTTGAAATTAAATACAAGTACTGATATCTGTTACAGGTAAATATAATTCATTTCGCTTCAGAGAGTGATTAATACGTTAACTATTAAAATGTTTATGAGAGTTGGCATTGTCCTTATGAGAATTAAACCTAAAATTTATGTAACACTGTAGTGGTTCTAAAAATTAGAATTAATATACACATTTAATCAAACAATTATTTGTAAATACGCCGTGATAAAAAAAATATCACGGTGTCATATTAAATTTTATTTTATTCCGTTTATTTATTTTAGTGATTGTTTACTCTCTATAGTTTCATATTTTATTTAATAATATTATCCATTATTTTAACAAAGATATTTTTTGGTGGGAGGCTAGTGCATCGTGATCTAAAATTGATGATGTAGACGGTAAAGTAACTGCAGACTGGAATGGGATAAAATAATATAAAAGCAATTTAATTTACATGAGTTTATAAAATAATTGTTTATAAAATTATTTCATATAGTGTATCTATATTGTTTGCCTCTGACCTTTGCCTATCCACTTGTGGATAAAATATATCACTACTACTTGTTTGTCTCTGTATCTTGTATCTGAATTGTAGAGACTGGCTTCAGTTGAAAACAAAAATATATACTCAAATGTCAGTTGTCACCTAAATTATTTATCGTGTACGTCAGTTTGTCATGTTTTGATTTCGTTTCTGCAATTTGAGAAAAATATTCGTAAATCATTTGACAATGGTTTACTATTATACATCAGGCAATGTAAGAATGTTGAGAAATATTATAATAGATTATGTAGCATCTTGTGAAGTTTCTCCATATGAATACATGAAGACATATATTGAGAAATGTCCAGAACATACAGAAGATGCTAAACTGTCATGGATTACTGAATCTTTCCTTGGATTACAAAAGTATAACCTGTTTTTAAAAGAAATTGCTTCTTACATTTCTGAAGAGTTGTCAGATGAATACCAGGATTATTTTACGATTATTCTTCACGCTGTTATTTTCCAGATTACGCCTAAACATATGAGTTATATATACAAATGCTTATTCAATTTAAGTAAACAATTACTGTACACGTTTACGAATTTTTTTAGTAATAATGAAGTTCTACCTTTTATATCCCAAATAGCTCAAGGTACATACGATACTAATTTCATTACCGATAAAATTATAAATCCCCTTTTTGCTTGGCAACCATACATAAGTGAAATGGCTAATAGTTATGCTGAATATGTAAAAAAGTTAGAAAGCAGGAAAGTAAAGCCACCTACTATACCAGTGCAACTGAATGTATTAAAAAGGAATTGCAAAGATCTTATATCTGCAGTTGAGCAAACTTCTCTACCTGCAACTCCCCCAAATTCTTTGCGTGTTAAAAATAAAAAAATGCTTACTAAAAGCGTCATTGACCAACGACTAAAATATATTCATGAAAAAAATCAGCAGAAAGCTTCACATTTGTTAAACGATATCAAGAATAAAAATTTTCATTATGCACAAATAAAATCGAATAAATACTATAAAAGGCTTGATAGTATGAAAGACGAAATTGAAAATGAAATTACTAAAACATTTCCAAAACCGAATAAAAAATATGTTTCACGAGAACCTCAACCTCCGGTAAAAGAAACAGTAGCGACACTAAAAAAAATGAACAAACAAATACAACTTGCAGAAGAAGAAGAAATTGAATGGCTTCAGACATTAATGAATACTTGTAGAAATACAGTAAAAATAGAAGAATTGGAAGAACATGATCGACAAGAGAGGGAAAGATTAAGACTTCTTGATATAGAAAGAAAACATTTATTGGGTCAAATCTCATATGAAGAAGCTTTAATTGCCAAAAATAAATTGCGAGATGAAAATAAAAAAAAATATGCTAAGTTTCTCAAAGAAAAACAAATGTGGAATGAAGAAATTGAGAAGTGGAAGAAACTTGAGATAACTAAAAATCGTAAGCAAGTAGAAAAGCTTTCCATGATTGAACTTAATCTATTACAAGCAAAAAATTGCGTTTTAGCTAAAAAAAAAGAAACCGCTAATCAATTAAAAAAAGAATCAGAAGCAATGCTTTCAAAAGCTATGAAAGAGAAACAAGAAGAGTTAGAACAAAAAGTTAATATGATAAAACAGATAAAGATATTAGCAATGATTGCCAGGAAAGCTAAAGTTCCTAGAATGATTGACTTGACAGAAACATCGGGATTGGGTTTATTATGTGAAATGTCATTGGCAGAATTACAAGAAAGATTAAGTGTATTTAAAATTAGATTACATGAAGAAATAGAAAGAAAAAAGAAAATCATTAAGGAAGAAAAGTTATACGCAAAACAACAGTTAGAAGATGTCAAAAATAATATAAAAGGTTTTATGTATCAGCGTTCAGTATCAAGAAAACAAAATCAAAGTTCAAAAGTAACATTGAGACCATCATCTTCTAAAGAAATAAGTGATTTAAAAAGGATTTTGGAACAAAAACGTAATTTACGGATTATGTTAACAAACGGAAATAAACATTAAAGATCTATTCAATTCGAATTCTTTGAGTTATAAGTATCTTACGTATTTAACTTTATTCATATAGAAAAGTATTTTATAATCTCATATTAGAAATTAGTTACCCTAAATTTCTACCATTCCTTTTAAAGTAAAGTTCTATTGCACAAGTGGAGCACATTTTACACAAGTGGAGATACATTTTACAAGTTTGTATTTTGCATTTTTTTGCTTTTTATATAAGTGCTATTTTTATATTGTCCTTTGTTATGTAAACTTATTAATAAAAAAAAATTTTCAATTCTGCAATGAAGAGAGACTGTTTTATGCCTCTATTTTGAACGGAATAGACGGTATGAATAATTTTTATGATTCATACATTGCTTCAAATAACGTGTAAATAATGTTCAATATAAATAAAAGATTTTGTTTTTGAATTAAGCTAATAAATGCAATAAAATGTTAGGAAATGTATTGCTGTTGAACGATATTGGATAAATAAAGACAATCTCAAGACAAGAGAATCTCATACCTATTTAAGTTTTGTAATTTATGACACAAATAACGTCTATAATGTACTACAAGCTTACTATACTACGGATATTAAACAGTTTTTGTCGTCTTATTAATGTTATTTTTATAAATCATATTAGTCAATTTCGGTTAATACCATCATAAAATAGTCCGTATTATAAATTCACATATTTCTAGTGGCATGCATAGTACATCTAGATACACTTAACAGAGTTGATTGCGTAGTTCATATTAGCATATAAGCACTGAAATTAAGATATCCTGCAATAAATTTTCATGAGTAATATAGAGTTATATGACAATAGACCTGATAGATATAAGAAAATATCGTAATCGTAAATCAATTCCAGTTATATAGAATATTTGAAATAATCTTAGTTGTAATAAAATACAACAAATGAAATTTCTGACAATATGAGTTCATTTTAGATATTAGACTCATACTAAGATAATTAGATAGTAGACTCAAAGAAGAAGACTATGTGGATAGTGGATACATATTTCCCACCTATTTCTGCAGCCAAACTGCTTTGTCAGCTACAAAGTATGGTTGAAGAAATAGACATTCATATCGAAATGTAAGGTACTAGGACATACAATAATTAAATTACAGGGTATGGAGGCTTGACATATTTATAAATGGCAATTTTACACGAAGACATGATATTCATGGTCCCGTTCATATTTAGGCGATGGTCGTAAAGTGGTTCGAAGACTAATTGACTATTTCCGATACATAAGAAAAATCTTAAGAATATAGTACTTTCTTGCTATCATATAGATGCTTTAGACGGTAGCAAGATTTTACTGTCATAAATATACAATTTTTTTATTCCTAACTTGTTTTCAATTCTCACTACGCCCAAGTCTATATATTTGATGGAAGAATATGGTAGCAAGACAAATGGTGTCTCCAGGCAGAGTCCGATCGATGCGCATGCGCGAATTGGTTGCTACAGTTAATTAGTGCTCCGAGAGGAGAAATATTAGTAATTGGAATTTATAGGACAGAATTGAAACCTCGCATGATATATGCGAGGGCAATCTTAATGTATAGAAGAAAGTTACTAGAACTGTTATTTTTTATCTGTTGTTGATTGTCACATCATAAAAGTAGTTTAACATTCCAATATAAAATAATAAATATTCCACTTTGTTTGTAGGGCATGTTTGTAGAGCACAAGGAAAAACTTAGTTTGCATTTCTTTCCACACAATTTAGGTATTTTATGACGTGTAGAAAGCAACAAGATTATAATTATATCGATTTCATAATACATAAATTTTGCGTTGTTAACATGTATGAGTAGATAATAACATGAGCTTATAATAATCCAATAACACGTCGGTATCACTGTAATAGTACAAATCACGTGACAATGTGTCTCGAGAAAAGCTAGTCGATATAATTTGGATTAAGGCAATAAATAAGCCGGGGTCGCCCGTTCATTTGTATCGGCGTATAATTTAAATTCTTTAACGCCAATGTTCAAGATTACGCGGTGAGATAGAGGCGCGGGCGCCCGTGTCTCCGCGACAACCACAAAATAAATTTATATTTCCGACCGATCCGAGCTGCCTTCTCTCTTTGTAGATAATTCGACCGGTAACGTTGAATGACTCTATTAACAGCTTCCCTTTTTGGGATAAATGTCGACTTTAGGCTCTGTATCTGTATTGTCGTATGTGTAGTGATGCCGCTACATTTTACGAGCTGTTTTATGTTAATATGTATAGTTTTTTTTTCATTATATCATTACGTTTTAAGTTCATAAATGGCGTAAAACAAAGTAAAAAATAATTGCAAGTTGATCAGTTTTTATATATTAAATCTATTTATTTTGTAAACATGAAAATGAGTAGGTATCCAAATATAAAATTACACATTTATATATAGATAAACAGCATCATCGTAATTGCAAAATAAAGATGAGAACATTATTTGCGATATGCCATGACTATAAATAGGGATCAACGCTCCAAGATTAACCTGATAACAGTAAAACGTCAATAACCACCTAATTGGGAGAGAACACTCTACCCACAATCACCTTAGAGCCGTCGTGAGTGAGAAACAAATAAATATTGTAGCCCACAACGAGATAATTCGACCGATAACTTAATGTGCTTACATTTTGAATCTGCTCATGATTTTATGGGAAACTACGATACTCTATCTATTTTTTCTATGATTTATCTTCGTTTCACTTTCGTTTCCGGTTCTTTTAATCTTAATTGCTTAATCTATTGATTATGTGACATCTTGGGTGTAATAATTATATTTGAATAAATTAATTTCTCTTTTAATTTGTCAAGAACACAAAATTTTAATGATACATTTCACGAATATCATTTCGTGTCGCATATTTAGATAAATCTTTACTTTATTATACCCAATATCTGAAATAGCGTTTCCGTTGAGACAGTTAAGCAAAGGTTGTTAAATTTTAATCTGTTTAAAGCAATCTGTCCTGATTCGAGTTACACTTTATATACATAAACGCGAATGATAATATTTGAAGAAAACGGTTATAAATTGAGATGTAAAAACATACTAAAAGTGTATATTCGATATGCTTCTGCAGTTCAGTTGGAAGGCTAATTTCGAATGTCAACCGCGAAATCTCGATTCGATTCTTATTGCAGGGAACATTATTTTATTGGCCTCCGTTATAAGGTTGTTCAGAGTGGGCATATTAAAGAATTTATGTTATGATTGCTCAGTCAATTTGCATATGAATAATATGTGAATTTTATGTGCGAATGATGTCATATCCTTTAGTGTGTTGCAAAGATATGTGTGAAAAATGTTACTGCTTAATTTAGTGTGAAAACAAAGTAGATACAGATATTGATATGATTTTAAAACGAAGAGAGCATTTAAGATACATTTGTTTACGGATATATTATTAAAATATTACTTTTACATACATATAACTGTAAAAAATAATCACAATATTAATTATACACATTATGTTTGTTTTCAATTTCAAGTAATTAATTAAATTTTGACACTTTAGTCCCTTTTACAAAAAATCACACAAAATATATACATATATGTATATATTCATATACATATTTTTTTCCATATAATGATTAAATCAGTAAAGTAACTAAGCTGAATTTCTTTTTTCTTAACTGTCAGTTTCTTATTTTGTCCAACTTTAAATGGAAAATCCGTACAAGAACAATTGTTGGTATACATGTTGGTCGTTTAAGTCAACAAAAATAAAGATATCCGAATATAGCTAACATTTAAAAAAAAATCTTATTAATAATACTAATGTTATAATACTAAAGACTTGCAATTAAAGTCTATTAGTAAACTCTAGAATTCGTTATATTCCAAAAAAACTGATAACATGACCTTTGGTGAGGAGCCTGAGGAGGAATCTGACGGCCTATCCGTGCGTAAGTGACAACTGTCGCGTATATACATGAACAACACCATAGATGTCACGTCATGGCTAGGTAGTATCCCTCGTGTGCCATTCAGGAGGACTTAGATATTATGCATCCGTATCCTGCCATATCACCCTTCAACGGACACATAGCTTACAAAGCAACTGCTAGATAGCCGACATAGGTGAGACATTAAACAGAATTACCTACGCAGATTACTATTGTCTATAAAATAAAAGTCTCTTTCAGAGTAAAGATATATGTTTGAGACGAGTAATGCAAGTAGATGAAACCAAAGAGTACCTACGTAAAAATTGAGACCTTTACGTACTCGCGTCTCCTTACATATTCCATAACAAACTTGACTTGACAGAGATTTTAATAGTTCCTAATACAACTTTCAGAAGTGGAATGTAATATATAACATTACTTAAGATTAAATGTAATGCTCGAATTATCAGTGTCAAGTGTATATAAATATTTTTGCACTACTAATATTACTAACCTTTCTCAACTTTTTCATAATCACTTCACACCTTGTCATAATCATTATACCTATATATTTATTAAAAATATAATGGAGGTATTGTAAGATGTGTACGAATGCAAGTGTCCGCTCGGTGCTTCAAACGCCTCTCACAAAATTTATTGTTATTGGGGCTGCCCGAGTACATGCATCCACACTCCGCGCCTATCACGGCCCAACAACATTATCTGTCCGCGCCACTATTCTGAAATGAAATGCTTTTAAACCGTGTAACCTGATTTTTACGACGTCACTATAAATAAACTTAACATAATTTGTCTTACAACGCCTCCATTAAGTTTAACAGACTTATTTATGAGTACGTAATGCTACCAAATTTTTCACAATCCCGAAAATTTTACAAACAAACCTTTATATTTATGGTTTATTTAAGTAGCTGTAATATGTGGGAAAATACAATACATTCTGGTATAGTAAGTACACAGTAGTACAAATATTACACAGAATTATTTTATAAGTATTAGTAAATAATAGTAGTATTATTTAAGTACTGTATGTCCATTTATATGTATATATTAAGTTATATAAAAACCCTGGAATTATTGTAAATCCGAGAAATGTAAAAAGTATACAGAAATCGATACAGAATTGACGAAGGCAGCTGAAATAACCCAACGATCTATAAACTTCAAAGATTTATAATACTATTATTAAATATCTCAAAATATCTAAATATTTGGATACTTTAAAAAAAGC